ATTTTATACTTATTGGGCTACATATTTATTTATTATACAGGATATACAGTACATAACATCAAAATTCACATGTTTTATGTAACTAAAGTGTGTAATTATGTGGGCTACAGACAATAATTAAGTTATAGACTATATTTATATGAAAACGTGTATACTTACTGCATTTGAATCATTTTACTCCAACTTTGTTTTATTGATTTCAACAACAAGTTAGCAACAGCAAAGTCAATCTTGATTTCAGAACAGTTGTATGTCCATTATACCCTCCAACCCCCCAACCCGAATTCTCCCTTCTCCCCCTACCAGGTCCACACTAGACAAGACACCGCAGAAAACCAGATTTTGTTAAATTCCCTAATAGAACCTTTTAGAGAGAATCTAAGTTTTTCCAACTTTAAGTTAAAGAGTACATCTCTCACCCAATTATTATGAGTTGGGGGGTGGGGAAGCTTCCACTTCAACAGAATAAGCCTCCGAGCTAGTAAAGTGGTAAAGGCTAGGGCCTGTTTGAGGGGGCCAGATGAGTTCAAGTTGGGAGGAATGCCAAAAATTGCGGAGAGTGGGTTAGGAAGGACAGTCTGGCCATATGCTTGGCTAAGTGTGTCGAATATATTCCTCCAAAATGCACTCAGTTTCAAACAAGACCAAAACATGTGGACATGGTTGGCATGCGATAGTCCGCATCTGCTACAGGCATCACTAATGGTTGGATAGATTTTAGATAATTTTGCATTTGTATAGTGTACTTTATAGACCACCTTGCACTGAATCATAGCATGACGAGCACAAATTGAGGATGAGTGAATCAATTTCAAAGCAGAATCCCACTGCTGTTCTGGCAGGGTTGTCTGTAGCTCTTCCTCCCATCTCATCTTAATATGAGAAATGGATTTGGGGACCAAAGCATCTAGTATTTTATACAAGACTGATATCAGTCTGTTTTGATGAGGGTCCGTCTGCAGGATGATATCCAGATTTGTTTCTGGAGGCCGATTGGGAAAGTGAGGGAACTGCGTTTTTACAAAATCTCTAGCCTGAAGATAGCGAAAAAAGTTGGAATTAGGCAGGTCGTATTTAGACGATAGGTCAGCAAAAGATAGAAAGGTGTCCTGACTGTACAAGTCCTTAACAGTCCTAAGTCCGTTATCTTTCCAACTGCTAAAGGCCGCATCAGTGTTTGAAGGTGCAAAATTACAATTTTTTGATAAAGGCGTTAGCAAAGACGGTCCAAGTAGCCCGAAGTATTTTCTGAACTGTCGCCAAATAGTTACCGTTTCCTTAGCTATTGGATTATCCCCAATAAGGGTTGGAGAAAAAGGGAGTGGTGAGCTGAGTATTGATGATAAGGAGTAACAGCTAGATGCAGTTTCCATTTGTGCCCAGGCTGGTACAGGGGGGTCGTTATGAACCCAATGTAAAAGTTTTTGTATGTTAGCTGCCCAATAGTAGTGTCTAAAATTGGGCAGACCAAGACCACCGTCAGTTTTAGAGGACTGAAGAATAGACTTGGGAGGACACTCATCTTTATCAGGTTAACTCTCCCTGCCACTGACAATGGTAGAGAAGTCCAACGGTCACAATCTTTCCCAACATTTTCTAGTAAGGATAGAAAATTCTCCCTCATCATTTTAGGTATAGAAGAGGAAATAAAACCCCCCAAATATCTAAATCCGGTTTCTGTCCACTTAAAAGGCACTATTGAGTGGGGAAGAGCTCTGGCCAGGGAATTGAGGGGTTGCCATTCGCTTTTTTGATAATTAACCTTATATCCTGACAGTGTACCATATTGGTCCAGTATGTCAAAAAGCACCGGGAATGAGTTTAGAGGGTCAGAAATGTACAGGAGCAAGTCATCTGCATAAAGGGAGAGTTTGTGGGTCACACCGAACCTTGTAATGCCTTTAAATCTATCCTCTGAACGCAGCCATATTGCAAGAGGCTCGATAGCAATGGCGAATAGGAGGGGTGAGAGAGGGCACCCTTGCCTAGTGCCCCTCTCAAGTGGAAAAGGCAAAGACAAGTTGTTGTTAGTACGAATACAGGTGGATGGCGAGGAATATAGTAGCTTAACCCAGAGAATAAAGTCAGCCCCTAAGCCAAACCTATCC